CAATACTGAGTTCTCAGCAGTAGATCTTTAGAAATAGGTATTCTTCATATGAACCCCCCCCCTCCGTTTAAAAAATGTTTGTGTGGTGTGTGTTTTTGTGACATAAAAGTAATATGCTCACTGTAGAAATCTCAGAAATTTTATTATATATGTGTATATGTATGCATATACATAAATATACCTGCATTTAATGGATCCTTAATGTAAGCAATCTATTTAAGCAATTTTTAAAATAAATACACATTCAAACATTTTTTCATGTTAGTAAATTTTGATTCACAGCATGATTACTTGGTCACATAGTACTATATTATAAAGCTATCACAAAATTTATTTAGTCCTATACTGTTGGATATTAGGGTTTATTTCTTGATTACTGTATACAGCCCACTGATACATGTCTTGTACAAAATCTTCTGTTGTGCGTATTTCTATGGTTTTCTTAGAATGAATTCTCTTTTTATTGTGTGAGATAAGGAACTGATCTTCTTCCTTAAATTTAGCCAGCAGATCCAATCCTGGATTATGGAAGGTTTGGAAAGCACAGGGAGAGTGAAAAAATAAAGAACTGAATCTGCAATTGTCAGTTCTCTGGGCTTATTACAGCCCACAGTTTTCTGTTGCCAAAATTCCTTCTTACTAAACAGCCTGCCCCAAGATTCTCTCAGACTTTAATTGATCTATAGTTTCACTCATCCCTTTAATTACCAGCCCGCAGCACATAGAGACCCAAGCAGCTCAGCACATGAGCCATGTCATGTTTCCCCAGTAGAGTTCAACAGGTGAAAGTAATAAAAGGGATTTCAACCCTTACTTTTCACTGTATATGTATTGCTGGTGGAAATGATGTTCTTTTAGAGAATCATAAAAATAAAAGCATTTCAGGAGACTCATGAATGGGAGGTTGAGGTTTCATGATAAGATTCACTATAGAAGCAAAATAAAAGGACTGGCCCTGGGTTCCCAGTGTCTAATCTCCATCTGCCCTGCCATGGAAAAGGTCCAACTTTGTTTTAACCAGCCTCAGAAATAGGGCCAGTGGTGTCCTGATATTTTGCACCCTTGGTCCAGTCCATGTTACAGCTTAGTTCAATCTTTGTCTGTCCCCATCTGGCTGGCTAGGTCTGTTTCTCTGCTGCACTCTGACTGGTGCAGTACCCAGGCCTTTGAGGTCTGCCTGGCCAGGATGGCTGCTAGGGACTCATGGTAGCTATGAAGAGAAAACAGGTAAACGAATGGGTGAGCATAGAGAGTGTGGAGATAGAGAGAGTGCTTTGTTAAGGTTGGCTTATATAATAATCTTGGGCTTGGGAAAGACCAGGTACTCTTTCAAAATAACAAATCACCCTAGGTTTGGCTCAGTTGGTTGTTGCACTGTTCAGTGCAGTGGAAGGTCATGGTTTTGATTTCCAGTCAGGGCACATACTTAGGTTGTGGGTTTGATCCCTGATTGGGTGCATGTGGGAGGTAGCCATTCAATGTGTTTCTCTCACATGGATGTTTCTCCTTATCTTTCTTTTCTCTCCTTTCCTCCCTCTCTAACGTCAATTTAAAAAATAACCAACCAACGTTCAGATCTTCCTTGTACTAGATCTTCCCCTTAATTAATAGATTTCCTAGATCTTTCTGGTTTTGTGTCCCTTATCCAATTAGATCCTTTGTCCAGACTAGACTACCAGATTTTTGTGGTCACCATATTGGTTTCCATTCTGCATACCTCATAGTCAAAGCATCTCCCTATGCACTATCTTGACTTCTACTGGGCATGCACCAGCAGAGGAATTTCCCCTTCTCTTTCTCTCACCAGCCAGCAGTTCCTCTGGGGAGAGAGGTGTGTTAATCCCCTTTGCTGGGCAATGCAGCCATGGCCTGGGAAGTGGGTGAAGCTGTAGCTTCTTAGTGAAGCAGACTCAACATTAGATTCATTTCCCAGTTTACTAGGCTCTTTAATGCCTAGTTCTTTTTGCTCCCTTCCTTTATTAATATCTAGCTACCTATGCTAACATATGCACTTTTAAAAGGGGCCCAAAAAACCTAGCCATATAAACATTTAACCAAATTTTGGTGGCTTTTCTTAATCTTGCAATTAATATGACACCACTCTCTTTGGCCCTTTAACAACTTAATCTCCTTCTTAGCAAGAAGAATCTTTCTTCATCAGAACAGGAAAATGGGAAAGAAAGTAGAGGGTTCTATTTGGTGAACTAGGGTGAAAACTGAATGTTAGCAATTTTTGCTTGTAACATCATCATTCCTCAAATATTCTCTAAAAGTAGATGAACCAGAAACTGTATTAGTTCCTAGAGGGAATATGACTTGAAGAAAAAAAAAAAAAGCCTTTGCTATTCAGAAGTAGTACTAGTTGGGGAGGCTAGCAAATAGTGAACTGAACTATCTGACATGAGGACAGGTTTTTCTTTATATAAAGACATGGAAGATTGGTTACTGGTTGTTTCTGTTGATTCAAATCAGTATGGGGATGAGTCCCAGATCTTGAATATCATAAATATTCAGTTATTCGATATTTACTAATATGAGCAAGAAAATCCCTTTCGAGGGTGCAAACACATTTAAATTCCTGAGTCTAACCTACAGGAATTCTGTTAGAGAAATGATAGACTTATACATGAAATGGTGAATAAGCAGTTATTAAAGGAATTATATAAGCAAAAAGAATTAACATTTTAAAAGAGAAAGAGGGATGGCCTGGGAGGATATCAAGAAGGCACATAGCCAGGACCAGTTTGGCTCAATGGATAGAGTGTCGGCTTGGGGACTGAAGGGTCCCGGGTTCGATTCCGGACAAGGGTATGTACCTTGGTTGCGGGCATTTTCCCAGTGGGGGGTGTGCAAGAGGCAGCTGATCGATGACTCTCTCTCATCAATGTTTCTAACTCTCTATCTCTCTCCCTTCCTCTCTGTACAAATTAATAAAATATATTTAAAAAAAAAAAAAGAAGAAGAAGAAGAAGAAGGCACATAGGAGCGAACTATACATTGAAGGATTTTTTCTTCTTTGTATGTAGTTCAAATAGATTTTCTAGGGGATATAAAATTACAGTTGCAAGAATAATCTTGAGGTAACCCCACATAATACAATGAACTTAGACTTCACATAGTCTTCTTACTTCATAAATATTTCTTGAGTATCTATGATGAGTGAGAAAACATGTCAAATTCCAGTGATATAAATATTCATAAGACATAGAATTATAGCCAAGTTATAGTGAGAGAAAGATAACTACTTTTGCATTATACTTCAGATTCAAAAGTTTATTCACATTATAATTTCAGCTCGAACAAAAGAAAACAAAAAACTGTAGGGTTGATATTACTGTCTTTCTCTTACCCATAAATAGGAAGCATACCACACCAAAAAAATATACAAAAACACAAAATAAAACAAAAAACTGAGTCATAGTTTGTTTCTTGCTCTAAATTATACAGGGTTGCAAACCACTTTATTTATTCTATACTACAGCTCCTGCTGCAGAATGTTTTTCCACAAATAAAATTAGTGTTAGGTCTGATCATTCATGACTAGTTCTTCAGCTTAGTAATTGCACTGATCATTTTCATAGTTGATTTCTTAGATATTTTAGAAATGTATTTCTCCAACAGTTGGGTAACAGAGATCCCAGCATCTGGGAATAAATTATCTGCTTTCTGTGACATTTACTAAGAGTCAAGGACTTGGCCTAACTCATTAGTCAGCTCTGCATAATTGTCCATGTATTTTTATTACATTTTGTATTAAAACCTTCATTTTAAGTTTTCAACATTAATAACTTTAAATAAGCTTTAATCTATTATTTTGATATTATCAAAATATATAAAGTGTATTATTATACAGTATTTATTTATATTATCTATAATAAAATATATGTATTACTATATTATAAAATCCTATTGTTTGTTGCTTCTGAGTTATTTAATATTAAATATATACTTTTATTAATGTCTGATAGAAATTAAAATACTATAAATATATTTTACTATATATTACTATATAATAAAAGCCTAAGTGACCTTTACTGCTAATCAACCAACTGACCAGTTGCTATGATGCACACTGACCACCAGGGGCAGATTCTCAACGCAGAGTTGCCCCCTGGTTGTCGGTGTGCTCCCACAGGGGGGACACCATTCAGCCAGAATCCAGGCTTACAGCTGGCAAGTACAGCAGCGGAGGAGGGAGCCCTTCCTGCCTGCACATCAGCGCTAAGGAACAATGAGCCACACAGTGAGGAGCGATCAGGTGGGCAGTAAGGAGTGAGAGATCCCAGATTGTGAGAGGGATGTCTGATGAAGGGTCCTGAACTGTGGGAGGGTGCAGGCCAGGCTGAGTGTCATCCACCAGTGCATAGATTTTGTGCATTGGGCCTCTAGTTTAATATAACCTCACTCTCATAGGAGATGGTGTTTTAGAGAAGCATTTCTTGTATAATTTGAAAATGGTATAAAGAGACTTGGGTTATTAGAAAGTACACTGTAACAGTCAAAACTTAAATTTTGTACATGGCTTTGCTTCTAACTAGTTGTAAGAATAGAATTGTCATCTTTCTGGGCCTCATATTTCTCATCTACAAAATGAGAAGCTTGGACTGGAAAATTCATGTGCATGATTATTTAACCACCATTTGTTGAAACCAACCAAATGCAAAGATATATGCTTACAGTTGTTGCTATAAAGATGGATGAGACGATGATCCTCGCTTTAAGAATTACAACATCTGTTTAATAATACTAACTCATAATTATCGCTAATTACTCTCTCAATTATGAGTTAAATAAACATGTTCCTATTTTCCTCATAGTGTATGTTTGTGTGCATGTGTGTGCTTCTGCTCACACACAACCATCCTCTATAGGAGCAAATTAATTGTAGAAAAGTTCAAACAAAGACAGACTTCACATAGAAAACTTTTAATTAAAGAAGGTCTATCACAGAAGATAAAAGATAATGATTTACTCATTGCATTTCTTTTCTTTTTTATCACCAGGGGAGAGCACGGACACAGCCCCCCACTACCACAAATTATGCAGTTGAGTTTCCCACATTTGGGAAAATTGCAAGGGTCAGCATACTCAGAGTGCAATGGGTAAACCTCACCCTGGGGAAACCACCTTCTTGATCATCATAACTCCCCTGCCAGGTAAGTATTACCCATTACATTTCATTTGCATTTACTTTGTCCTTTTGGAGAGAAGTTAACTGTAAGAAGCTTATGAAAGCTTTGATTTAATTGAGTAAATTATAGAGAAAAAATATTTTCACTTAGTTTTGTAGTTAATGGGTCATTACTGAAGTCAACTATATTCTCATGCAGAAATCTGCTCTGGGACATCTTCTACTTACACAGCAACCAAGGAGTTGACTTTCCTTGATGATTGTTTTTCTTGGGGGTTGCAGGAAAAAATTTGAGAATTCTTGGGGAAAAAAGTCACATAGGAGGATGGCAAAATCAAGGATTCAGGCTCAGAATCTTTAAGCTGAGTACTACCTTTGTAACTTACTAAGTACATCTTTGATCTAATAAATGGCAACTTAGTCCCTCTGGGCAATAAATTTTTTAAGTGGTGATCACTTTTGTCTACCTCACAGGAGGATTGAGAAATTCAAAGTGATTCTATTTGCAGTCTTTATAGAAGGTCATGCATGTTAAATGGGAGGGTATATTTTTGTAGGTAAAATGAAAAGAGTGTTAAGTGTTGGAAATGGGAAGTTAGGTAACAGCCATTCAGTTCAGGACTCTAATGGCTTTAGAGATGACTTAGTTTCATATTCTCACTGTATGAATAATAAAGGAAGCCCATTTAAAAAAACAAAACTATAAAGTAAGATGTGTGTCATATTAAACTTTCACATAGTTTAGCTAACTAAAAATTAGCCATACTGATATTTTTTTGAGTTCAGAAATCTTTAGGACAGTGACTTTTTAAATAATTTTTGTTTTATGTTTTGATATTTATCCTGTGAGTGTGTACATATCAACTAATTCACTAGGCAATTCTAGATTTCTAGAATTAGTTTTATGCTCTAAAAATATACTCTCTCAGGGTAAGTTATCTCTTAGAGAAAAAATGCATAACAATAAAAAATCTTTAAACTTTAAATCTGTAAATATATATTTTAGAAATATCCAGGCTTCTGAATTCAGATTGCTGTAGATTTCTTCCAGCTTCCTCTAAGCATTTGCCCTTGGAAGATGGATATCTTGGCTATGTTTAGGAAAAGAGCCTGCCTCTAAACCAAATGACGCATTTCCAACTTGCCCTCACTTGCTCTATTTATTCAGAGATAATTTCAAGATAGAAAAGTTGCAGTGGTTGTTAAGAGACAATTACCATGGGTCCCCCGCATTTCTGTACTTCCTCTGAACTGAGACAGTAATTACCCTTTATTCCAGAATGTTCATGTGGCAAAGGGCCCTGGAAGATTGTGATAGTGCCTCTTTTTCAACAAAAAGATAGGCTTATGGCTATTATCAAATATCCAGATTTCCTAAATTTAGGGTTTCTTTCCTGTAATGTATCTGAGTGTGTGCAGATGTCTCTTGGCACTATTTTTGCTGTCCTTTGGAAATCAGGCCTTAGGGAACCAGTGCAAACTTGCTCACCCTCAGGCTGCTTCTTTTAGTTGCTGACCTACTAATAGTCTTATGTCTTCTACCAACAGCCATACACTGGGGCAGGCAAACGTGTTATCTTGCAAGTAAAATCTCACTTTTCCCAGCTCTTGGCAGTGATTATGGTACCTTATTCACAAGACTCTTTCCATCAAAGAGAATTAATTTAATCTCATTCCTATTTGAGAAAGATTGCTTTACAAATATGCATGTGATGCCAAACTAGCCAAGGCAATGTGAAGGTAAGTATGGGAGAAGGCTTTCTAGATCTTCATAAATCAAAGAGGAAGAGAAGCCATGTACGACCCTTGCAAGCATTACATTCATCCTGCTTCAACCCTGGGGATGACAAAAACCACACATGGAAAAATAAGAGAACAAAACCAGAGAACAAGACACAACCCTGTCTCTAGCTGTAGCCAAGACTGCTACTACATTGGAGAATGTACTTCCTTATTGTTTAAGGCAATTTGACTCAACTTCTTTGGATTATTTTTATCCAAATTGACTGAGTTGATACTGTAGCCTATGAGCCATGTCACCATGTACACTCCCTGGATCCACTGCAATGACATAGATCTCCAAACACTTATTTCATTTAGTTTTCTTTTTTCTTATAATATACACACAGAAGACAGCATAATAATTATAAGTTCAATACAAATAATCACTTACATTAAGTAATAAAACATTTGACAGGCCAAAACTGATTTGGCTCAGCGGATAGAGCATTGGTCTGTGGACTGAAGGGTCTCAGGTTTGATTCCTGTCAAGGGCATGTACATTGGTTGCGGTACATTCCCGGCAGGGGGTGTGCAGGAGGCAACTGATCGATGTTTCTCTCTCATTGATGTTTCTAGCTCTCTATCCCTCTCCCTTCCTCTCTGTAAAAAGTCAATAAAATATATTTTAAAAATATTGACAGTATCCCACACAAGGAACTCTTCATAACCACAACTCTCCCCTGTCCCTCTAGAGATAATTACTTTTCAGAATTTTGTCATAAACATCTTCCTGCCTTTTTAAAAACAGCTTCACCTCCTAAATATGCATCCCTAAATAATATAATTTAGCTTTGCCTGCTTTTGAACTGTATATAAATGGAATCGTTGTCTATGTATTATTTTTTGTCTAGCTTCTTTGTCAATTTCCATGTGACTTCTATCAGTTTGCTGTGCAAAGCTTCCATTTTTTTTGTTTGTTTTATACTATTGCATTGCATAAATATGTCAGTATTTATTTATACATGATATTGGTATTTGGTTGTTGTTTTTTTCTGGGACAAAGAACAAAAATTATGGCATACACATCCTTATATTGATATCTTGGTACCTACCTCCAAGATATTATCTAGGTTATACACCTAAAGAAAAATTTCTATATCATAGGATGTACATATTTTCAAATTTATCATATAATGCCAAATATTTTTTATTTTTTTATTTTTTATTTTTAGTATTTGTATTCCCAGCAGAAGTATAGGAGATTACTCATGATAAAAAATTCTGGTGTTATCCAACTTTTTAACTTTTGCTAAACAATTGAGAACTTAATCTCATTGTGTTTTTAAGTTGCATTTTTATGATTGCTAATTGAGGACCCTTTAATATGTTTGTTAGGCCCAATAGCTATGTTCTACTGAGATTTACCTGTACAAATATTTTGCCCATTTCTTTATTGTGTTGCCAGATTTTTATTTTATTTTATTTTATTTTAATTTTTTTTAATTTTATTGATTTTTTACAGAGAGGAAGAGAGAGGGATAGTTAAAAACATTGATGAGAGAGAATCATCGATCAGCTGCCTCTTACATGTCCCCTACTGGGAATGTGCCCTCAACCAAAGTACATGCCCTTGACTGGAATCAAACCCGGGACCTTTCAGTCCATAGGCCGACACTCTATCCACGAAGCCAAACCGGTTTTGGCGTGTTGCCAGATTTTTAAAGTTTATTTGTTGGAGTGCATTATATATTCTAGGTACTAGTTCCAGATACTGTGGAATCAATGTCTTCTTCCAACATTAGTAACTTCCTTTCATTTCTTTACAGTATTTGAATGATGTTTAAAATATTAATACCAACAAATATATCATTTTGTTATGGTACTACTTTTAGGTCATGAAGATGTTTTACATTAACTTAGAAAAACTTTAAAACTTTGATTTTTACAAGTAAATTTTTAATTCACATGAAATTCATATTTGCATCCTAGATGATAAAGGTCAGCCTTTTGCCTCAGCAAATTCATTCCTCACTCACCTACGATTCCATCACAAGAATAAATCAAGTGTCCACTTCTGTGGCAACCTGTTTCTAAATTTATCACATATTTATTCAAATTATAAAGGATGATCACTCAATATAAAGTAAAAACACAAAGCTGTATTATTGTTTACCAGAGTAAGGGAGAGGATTGCACACTAAGAACAGTATCTGAGGAGAAAGATAGCTGATCATATTTAAGGTTCTGGGGAAGCGTGTATTTTCAGAAATCTAATGGAACTGGCATAATCTAGACTTGTGGTTAACTCAGATAAGACTGTTACTGATTGACATTGAGAAGTGGGTCATTAGTGGGTTCAATCTGTCACGGATTGGCTGATTTTCAGAAGAAGTGGGTGATACTGATTTTTGGCTTACAAAAGTGTGTTCCCTACCACAAGCTATTGTTCCTTATTTAAGAAGCTTAAAACTGATTCAGACAATGACTTGTGACCATGACTAACAAATAATCAATCTTTTCCTACCTTTGTGGGGACTTTTTAAAACATCTTTTTTTTTTTTTTTGTCTATTTGTCTAACCAGGTACCAATTTCATTCTGTTTTAATTACTATAACTTTATGATGAGTCTTAATATTTGGTAGGATATGCTCTTCCACTTTATTTTTCCCCCCAAGACAGTCTTAGGCATTCTCATCTATTTCAAGTCTTTATATTGTAAATTTTAGAAGCTAATTTTTATTTATTTTTTTATTTTTTTACTGTTTAAAGACTTTTTATTAAAGCAAGAATTTTATGATCCAAATTATGTTTTCTTGCTCAGTTATCAATTCTGTTATTTAAAACAGAAGTGACATTATGAGCTATTCCACAGTAGAGAATTACAAAATTAAAGAAAGGAATGCTTTAAATTTTTGTACTTTGCTAAAAATTCTTTTTCCCAGGGTCTATAAAACATTAATTTATTTTTATATTTTATGATTTTTTTGTAGTTTTTGTTTTTGTTTTTGTTTTTAAATCAATAAGTAATCTAGGACTAGCATTATTTTTGCTAAACCTGGCATTTCCTCGGTACACAAGGTCCAAAATTTCCTTTCCTTTTTTTTAATTTATTTTATATTTTGCAATGTTTGTTTTTTCCCCCCATAATATTGTTTTTCTATGTTTAGATATTTTTCTTCGGTGAAGCATGAGTTTCTTTTCGTGGTCCCTGATCAATTTTAAACAGTTGGAACACGGGTGGCACTGTTAACTGCTTTCTGGGCAGCCTCTTTAGCTTGGTGGGCTCGCAGTACGGCTACAGCTTCATCAAC